TTTTATTTTACTATAAATTTTATATAAAATAGGTTCCCAATACCTATTATTAATTATTATTATCCATCAAACTAACTAAATATTTTAATCAACTGAATAAATTAATGAGCAAAATTTATAATTACATTTCCTGTTAGTGATAACTGACTAGCTTGTATAACAGGCAATCATTTGTTTATTTATATTTCGTGTTTGCATGTTGCATTTTCCAAATCGTCCTACAAGGCTACAAACTACAAAGTCACTAGATTTAAACTTCAAGGTAATCTGGCACAAGCCATTAAGTCAATCAGTGTTGTTATTGTTGGTCAGTAAACTACATTGCTGTGTATTTCAAATTTTTGTTGTACTCAGACATCTTAACAAAAATGATTACTGTAAATCAAGTAAGTGCATAAATTATTTTAGAAAATTTAATAATCAAATATGATTTATGTGTTTATACTTTACACCAATTTAAACTTTTATTTTAGGTATTGCGTAATGTGTGCCGTAATTCTAGATGTATTATTGCAAATAGAAAGTATAGTGAACAATCTCAAGAGACACCCTTCTGTCTTGGTTGGTTTAAATGTCTTTGAAATTAAAATGTCAATATCTTGTTAAATATTACTATTAATGCCATTTTAGAATTATCTGATACACAAAAGGAATTTCGTGACTTAGCAAGGAAATTTGCTCGAGAAGAAATTATACCTGTTGCTGCTGAATATGATAGGACTGGCCAGTATCCATGGGATATAATTAAAAAAGCACACTCAGTTGGACTTCTCAATGGTCATATTCCTGAACATTGTGGTAATTTTTATAACTAAATATTCTAAATACGACTTACTTATTACTTAGTACTTAATGTTTAAACTGAAAACAGCACCTTATCGTCCTTATCAAATAGTTAATAAGTTAATATTAAACACACTATAAAGCTGTACAATACCAATTAAAATAATATTCATAATAGAACTATATACTACATTTATATGGTGGCGTTAAAACAGTTTACATTTTTTAAACCATTTTAACGCCATTATATAAACGTAGTAATAGATAAATAGTGTAATAATATTGTGGTGTCATGATCATGTAAGCTACACGTCATCACAATGATTTCATATTAAGAGGACGCCACACCCGCATGTGTTGTCTCCGTCTTACAAACGTATAACATAGCAAA